TGTTTCAACACCTCCGGTGTCTTATCAAGTGATGATGCTGAATGTAAAATAAATCATTTTAAAAGTTTCAAATTAATTAACGATCTTTCGCAAGGGGAAAACGTTGTTACAAAAGCTAGAATGATCAATCAAAATACAATATATATATATATATATATATATATATATATATATATATATATATATATATATATATATATATATATTCCTTTTTGTTTTACCTTTTAGCGGAAGTGAATTAAAACCGGTTTCTATATTAGATATCAAATACATTTTATTTATTGTGTATACATTCCAGCTCACTTATTTTATAGAGAACGCTGATATGTAAACATGAATATCCTAAATTCTCTTCTTGAAATAATTGTCAAAATTAACTTCTCCACGTGTAATATCCGCCATCTTGTATTTGGTTGAGGGTTTTTATTTTCGTCTTTATTTTTCCCATACGTATTTTGTCAGGGCAGTGTCATTATATTTTCTCACCCTGAATGATGTCACATAGTTATTATCCTTTTGAACGCTCGCTACATCAACTTCGTCTTAGTACAAAACTTATTTGACAAGCTGGTGTTTAATTGTCAAAATTTTCATCACACCACAAATGTAACTTCTACGTCAAAGAGGAAAAGAAAGATTTCTACAAAAATCTCAAACTAAATATTTGTGGGTAATTGCATACAATTATAAACATATTTTCAAATCAAAAATAAAGTCAGGTTTTAAATACGATCCTTAATAATTCACTTCTATTCGATTTTAAAAGTTATGTTTTAAGAATGATTCTTAATTAATTACTTTTATTCAGTTTTAAAAAGTCGGCAAAAAACATTTCATATATTGCATGTTGTTGAGTCGTCGGTGTTGAGTCGGCGAAATTGATTTGGAGGTTTTGAGTCAGCGGCATTGAGTTGGCAGTGATAAGTCATCTTTCACCCGCGGTCGGAGAGTAATCTGAAACCGGAATATATTTTCCTTGTTATTTATTTGGAAATTGTGGGTTCATAAATGCTAGCAAATACAGCATTATTACGTTTAACTCGCAATCGCTTTCATTATTCGCGATAGCTATTTTGTCACCTAGGATATTTTAAAGCAACCCCAACCCCGCAACTGATAATCCGTCCGTAAAGATTCAGCGTTTGACACCATGGAAATGTTTGGATAAGCAGAAGGCTGAATTTTCATTTAGTTTGGCTGTTTCCCGAGACGTAAACATACTATCGGTCACCGAGAGTAAGCGGTGTCCGTGAAGGGTTGTATGTGGGAAGTTCGAGAAATGAGGAATAAAGCAATGGGGGAAAGGAAATATCTGTTCCATTGATTGGATATGACAATGGCACTAATATTAACTCACTTGAATCAATAGAGCGTGACCAGAACAACCCACGTTAATATGCAATCGAAAATGGTGGAACTTGATATTAAGTTGGCGTCTGAAACGGGAATGATGGACATTTTCCTGGAACAGAAGAATAGGAAATAGAGAGAGAAAGAAAACGAGGAGGGAGAGTAAGCGTGAGAGAGAGACAAGAGAGAAGAAATGGAAGCAGAGAAAGAGAATGGTATAAATTAAGTACTTTTTAAATGTGTTTTAGTTAAATCTTTCCGTTTTCAGATTCCAGTTTCGGATTTTCAATGACATTTCCGTTAGTTATTTCCATCTTTTTCTATTTTTCGTGCCCTGATTTTTGATTTTTCATTTATAATTCCTTCCTTTCTTTCTTTTAATCTTTCTTTATTTCTTTTATTCTTTTTCCATTCATTGTTTCTTCTTTTCTTTCTTTTATTCTTTTATTGTTTCTTTCTTCTTTCCTTCTTTTATTCTTTCTTCCTTTTATTCTTTCATTGTTTCTTTTTTCTTTCCTTCCTTTATTCTTTCTTTCTTTCTTTTATTCTTTCATTGTTTCTTTCTACTTTTCTTCATTTATTCTTTCTTTCTTTCTTTTATTCTTTCATTGTTTCTTTCTAATTTTCTTCCTTTATTCTTTCTTTCTTTCTTTTATTCTTTCCTTGTTTCTTTCTACTTTTCTTCCTTTATTCTTTCTTTCTTTCTTTTATTCTTTCATTGTTTCTTTCTACTTTTCTTCCTTTATTCTTTCTTTCTTTCTTTTATTCTTTCATTGTTTCTTTCTACTTTTCTTCTTTTATTCTTTCTTTCTTTCTTTTATTCTTTCATTGTTTCTTTCTTCTTTCCTTCTGTTATTTTTTCTTTTATTCTTTTATTGTTTCTTTCTTCTTTTTTCCTTTATTCTTTCTTTCTTTTATTCTTTTATTCTTTCTTTCTTTTTTTCTTTCTTTATTCTTTCTTTTTTCTTTTATTCTTTCATTGTTTCTTTCGTCTTTTCTTCCTTTATTCTTTCTTTCTTTTATTCTTTTATTGTTTCATTCTTTTATTTTTCTTTTATTCTTTCATTGTTTCTTTCTTCTTTCCTTCATTTATTCTTACTTTCTTTCTTTTATTCGTTTATTTTTCTTTCTTCCTTTATTGTTTCTTTTATTCTTTTATTGTTTCTTTCCTTCTTTATTTCTTTTATTCTTTTATTGATTCTTTCTTTTTTCCTTCCTTAATTCTTTCTTTTTTCTTTTATTCTTTCATTGTTTCTTTCTTCTTTCTTTCCTTTTATTCTTTTTTCTTTCCTTTTCTTCTTTTATTCTTTCTTTTTTCTTTTTTCTTTCTATTATTCTTTTATTGTTTCTTTCTTCTTTCCTTCCTTTATTCTTTCTTTTATTCTTTTATTTTTTCTTTCTTCTTTTTTTCTTTTATTCTTTTATTGTTTCATTCTTTTATTCTTTCTTTATTTCTTTTATTCTTTTTTTGTTTCTTTCTTCTTTTCTTCCTTTCTTCTTTCTTTCTTTCTTTTATTCTTTCATTGTTTCTCTCTTCTTTCCTTCCTTTATTCTTTCTTTTATTCTTTCTTTTATTCTTTCATTGTTTCTTTCTTCTTACTTTCCTTTATTCTTTCTTTCTTTTTTTTTATTGTTTCTTTCTTTTTTCTTCCTTTATTCTTTCTTTCTTTTATTCTTTTATTGTTTCCTTCCTTTATTCTTTCTTTATTTCTTTTATTCTTTATTGTTCTTTCTTCTTTCCTTCCTTTATTCTTTCTTTTATTCTTTCATTGTTTCTTTCTTCTTTCCTTCCTTTATTCTTTCTTTATTTCTTTTATTCTTTATTGTTTCTTTCTTCATTCCTTCCTTTATTCTTTCTTTTATTCTTTCATTGTTTCTTTCTTCTTTCCTTCCTTTATTCTTTCTTTCTTTCTTTTATTCTTTCCTTGTTTCTTTCTTCTTTCCTTCCTTTATTCTTTCTTTCTTTCTTTTATTCTTTCATTGTTTCTTTCTTCTTTCCTTCCTTTATTCTTTCTTTCTTTCTTTTATTCTTTCATTGTTTCTTTTTTCTTTCCTTCCTTTATTCTTTCTTTCTTTCTTTCTTTTTTATTCTTCTTGTTTTTTTTTTTCTTTCCTTCCTTTATTCTTTTTCTTTCTTTCTTTTATTCTTTCATTGTTTTTTTCTTCTTTCCTTCCTTTATTCTTTCTTTCTTTCTTTCTTTTATTCTTTCATTGTTTCTTTTTTCTTTCCTTCCTTTATTCTTTCTTTCTTTCTTTTATTCTTTCCTTGTTTCTTTCTTCTTTCCTTCCTTTATTCTTTCTTTCTTTCTTTTATTCTTTCATTGTTTCTTTCTTCTTTTCTTCCTTTCTTCTTTCTTTCTTTCTTTCTTTTATTCTTTCATTGTTTCTCTCTTCTTTCCTTCCTTTATTCTTTCTTTTATTCTTTCTTTTATTCTTTCATTGTTTCTTTCTTCTTACTTTCCTTTATTCTTTCTTTCTTTTTTTCTTTTATTGTTTCTTTCTTTTTTCTTCCTTTATTCTTTCTTTCTTTTATTGTTTCATTCTTTTATTCTTTCTTTATTTCTTTTATTCTTTTATTGTATCTCTTCTTTCCTTCCTTTATTCTTTCTTTGATTCTTTCCTTGTTTCTTTCTTCTTTCCTTCCTTTATTCTTTCTTTTATTCTTTCATTGTTTCTTTCTTCTTTCATTCCTTTATTCTTTCTTTCTTTTTTAATTTTGTTCTTTCATTTTAATATTCTTTATTTTATTGTTTCTTTTTTCATTTATTACTTTTATTCTTTCTGTGTTCTTTTATTCTCCTTTTAATTTTATTGTTTCTTCCTTCCTTTCTTTTATTCTTTCTTCATTTGCTTATTTTTTTTATTTATTGCTTTTATCCTTTCTTTATTTCTTTTATTCTTTTTTCTTTTATTGTTTCCCCTTTTCTTTCTTTTTTTATTGTTTTTTCTTTTCTTTCTTATTTTCTTACTTTTATTCTTTCTTTATTTCTTTATTGTCTTTTTTATTTTTGTTGTTACTTCCTTCCTTCCTTCTTTCCTTCCTTCTTTCCTTCCTTCTTTCCTTCCTTCCTTCTTTTTTTATTTTCAGTTATTTTTTCTTTCTTTCTTTTAATTTTTCATCTTTTCTTTATTTCTTTTATTCTTTTTCTTTTATTGTTTTATTCTTCTTCCCTTTTTCTTACTTTTTATTCTTTATTTATTTATTTTCATTTTTATTTTATTGCTTCTTTCTTCCTTTCTTTCTTTTATTCTTTCTTTATTTCTTTTCTTTTTCTTTTATTGTTTCTTTCTTTCTTACTTTCTTTTATTCTTTCTCTATTTCTTTTATTCCTTTTACTGTTATTGTTTACTTCTTCCTTTCTTTCTTTTATGTATTTTATTCTTTTTTTAAAATAGTTTGTTTCTTTCTTTTTATTCTTTCTTTATATCTTTTGATCTTTTATTCTTTCTTTCTTTTTTTCTTTTTGCTTTTATTGTTTGTTTGTTTCTTTTATTCTTTCTTTATTTCTTTTCTTTTACTCTTTCTTTGTTTTATTGTCTTTTGTTCTTTCTTTCTTTCTTTTTTTCTTTCTTGTTGCGTTATTTTTTGTTTCTTTCTATCATTTAAAAAAATACTTATGTCGAATATCGATTCTTTTATTTGATCGGCCATGCATTTTTCTTTCTTTCTTCTCTTCTTTTTTCTTTCTTTCTTCCAATTTAAATTATTATTTCACATTATCATTTTTATATTGTCACATATTGGAATATATCTATTCTCAGCTGTTCTTAAAATTTTACATATATCGAAGAATTCTTTCAGTTCTCTCTCTTTCTTGATCTATCTTTCTTTTTTCTCTCTGTTTTTGACTCTATTTCTTTCTTTTTCTCAGTCTCTCTTTCTTTCTTTCTTTCTTTCTTTCTCTCTCTTTTTGTCTCTCCTTCTTTCTGTCTTTCTTTTCTCTTCCCCTCTTTCATCCTCTCTTTCTTTTTTCTCTTCTTTCTTTCTCTCTTTCTTTCTCATTTCTGCCATTTTTCAATAGCGTAACTGAAATACATGTCGAAGCTTTCCATTTTTTTTTAATTATATCGAACAATTCTTTCAGTTCTCGAAAGAGTATTTCTTTCTTGATTTTCTATCATTCTTTATTTCTCTCACTCTTTCTTTCTTTCTTTCTTTCTTTCTTTCTTTCTTTCTTATTTCTCCAATTTTCAGTACCATGAATTGAAATAAATCTCTAAACTTTTTCGTAAAATTTTACATATATCGAACATATCATTCACTTCTAAAAAGATTATTTACTTATTTATTTCAATAATTATTTCTTTCTTTCATTTGTATATCTGAGTTCGTTGTATTATTTTTTTATATGTTTAATTATAAATGTCGACCATTTCTTCTCGTACTTTTTCCTTTTTTCCTTCCTTCATTCCTTCCTTCATTCCTCCATTCCTTCATTCCTTCCTTCATTCCTCAATTCCTTCCTTCATTCCTTCATTCTTTCATTCCTTCCTTCGGTCATTTTTTCTTCCTTTCGTTTTTTCTTTCTTTGTAAATTTCCGTCATTATTTATACTTATTTATTTAAAATTTCCTATCTTTTTTTAACTTTATTTATTTATAATTTTCTTTTATTCTTTCTTTTTTATCCGTCTTTCTTTATAACTTTCCTTTCATTTTTCATTTTTCTTTCTTTTATATTTCTTTCTTTATTTATTTAATCTTTATGTCTCTTTTGTTTTTTTCTTCATAATTTTCATTCTTTCGTTCGTCTTTCTTTCATATTCCCTTTCTTTCTGAATTCCAATATTTCATAATCATTTAAATTTCATTTGTTTAAAAGTTTTATTCATTCATTCTTCATATATTTACAACTTATTTTTTGTTTCATATTCATTCAGTAATTTCTCTTACTCTCTTCCCATTCTGCACTATAATAACTTTTTAGCACATCTGTCCACAGCTTTTATTTTTTTTCCTGTAATTTTACATATGTCGAAAACTGCTTTTTTTCATTTTTTTTTCTTTTAGAAAATGAATATTTCTTTCTTTATTTTTCTTCATTTCTTCATCTGTTTCTTTCCTTATTTTTATATTCTGGCATTCTTTCTTCCAAATTTCTTTTATATTAAATTTTTTTGAGCCATGTTGGACAAATTGTATCATATTTTTTCTATTTTTCCATTTTTCTTTTCCATTTTGTTTGTTTGTTTCTTTCTTTCTTTCTTGCTTTGATTCATTCGTTTCTTTCATTCCTTTCATTCCATAATGATTTCAAATATACATTGGATTTCATTTTCTCTTACTATATTTTAGATTCCTCTTCACCGGTGTTTTGTTCATTGTTTATTCCTTACTTGCTTTTTATCTTTCTTTTTTTCTTTCTTTCTTTTTTTCATTCATTATTTCTTTCTTTTCATTTCATGATACTTTCAAATATACATTGGATTTCCTTTTCTCTTTTTATCTTCCTCTTTTTTCTTTCTTTCTTTTCTTTTCTTTCTTTCTTTTTTTTTTTTCTTTTCTTTCTTTCCATAATACTTTCAAATATACATTGGATTTCCTTTTCTCTTTCTATATTTCAGCTTCCTCCTCACCGGTCTTTTCTTTCTTTCTTTCTTTCTTTCTTTCTTTCTTTCTTTCTTTCTTTCTTTCCATAATACTTTCAAATATACATTGGATTTCCTTTTCTCTTTCTATATTTCTTTCCGGTCTTTTTTCTTTCTTTCTTTCTTTCTTTTTTCTTTCTTTCTTTCTTTCTTTCTTTCTTTTCATAATACTTTCAAATATACATTGGATTTCCTTTCTCTTTCTATATTTCAGCTTCCTTCTCACCGGTCTTTTTTCTTTCTTTCTTTCTTTCTTTCTTTCTTTTCTTTCTTTCTTTTTTCTTTAATACTTTTCAAATATACATTGATTTCCTTTTCTCTTTCTATATTTTCTTCCTTCTCACCAGTCTTTTCTTTTCTTTCTTTTCTTTCTTTCTTTTTCTTTTCTTTCTTTTTTCTTTCTTTTCTTTTCTTTTTTCATAATACTTTCAAATATACATTGGATTTCCTTTTCTCTTTCTATATTTCAGCTTCCTTCTCACCGGTCTTTTCTTTCTTTCTTTCTTTCTTTCTTTCTTTCTTTCTTTCTTTCTTTCTTTCTTTCTTTCTTTTCATAATACTT